CACGCACACACACACACACACACACACACACACACACACACACACACACACACACACACACACAGTCTTCATTAGGGTTAAAACACAATATTTTCATGACTTTTCCCAAAGATAGTCTATACAGTAATAATACATTTGCTCTAATGATTCAGCATCCACACAGTGAGAATAAATTTGGCTTTCAGCAATCAAACAGTTCTCCAAATTCACTTTCAAATCGGCACAAACAAAGAAATGCAGCAGAGCTAAATTAATTCAATTATAAAAATTAACCTACTAAAACTGTGCTTCATTAATCCAGTTACTCAACCCCTTTCAACATGAATAAGCTATATGAATATAAAACTAATTTGACTGAAGAAATGTCTTATGAGGAATAATGTCTGTAAAGCCTAGTTACTCAGGCAATCTCTTCTTAGTGTACTTGCAGGGTTACCTGCACATGATGTGCTGAAAATCCTCACACACACATGGAAAGAAATCAAACTCGCACAAAAATGAAAGCATACGGGTTCAACCGCATTCAAACACACACATGGAAATAAACCAAGCACATGTTCAACCGCCACACACTTATAAAAATACCAGGCTCCTATATTACACATGCCCACACATCCTCTGGTAAATTAAATTCCTGAAAATGGCATTTTAAAAGCTTCTCGTTAGCCTTTTTAGCATGTCTTAACTGTGTTTCTTCTATAATTAAGCTTTTAATTATATTAATACTTATACCAATATGTGCCCACTGTTTCACAATTTTCTTTTTTAAAATGGAGATTGCTTGGTTTGGTTTGCAGTCCCACTGAAACCCTAAAGAGAGGGAACACGGGATAAAATGCAAATGACTGGAAAAATTTAAACGACCTTTTAAATTTGAGCGTTTATTCATTACTTTAATCACACAAAATTACTTTTTAAAGGCAAAGCAATTGCATTTTCGTCTCTCATTTTCTCCATCTTAAGTAGTGCTCTTTTATCAGTTTTTCGAGCAAAGGGAACAGCTTGCACTCCCAGAGAACAGAAATTTAACCAAGTAGGAAGAGGTTAAAACAATTCTGTGAGTACACTAGGGCACGTTCACTTTTAGCAGCAATTTATTATAAATTAAGCATTGTGCTCTCAAAGCTCTACTGACAAAAAATAGTTTTCAGTTAACTTGGCATTATTGCATTTGATTTTTTTCTCATCAGAATTGCAAGATATAAACTCAAGACAAGACAAGTTTATAACACAGATGTGAGAAAAAAGTCAGAATTGTAAGATAGACTTTTTTCGTCACCCAAACGACAGTTAATAACTCACTATTCATGTTCAAGCTAAATTTGATTCTCCGGAAATCTCTTTTGCTAATGGAACAAGGTAAGAATATTGGCGTGGCATCTGTGGGGTTAATAGGTGTATGTTTCCTCTGTACACTGAGTCACACTTCATTAGTGAGCTAGCAGCTGACGCCAGCCTTCAAAATGGCTGATTGCTAGAATAAATAACAGAGGTGCACAGATGTCACACGCTGACACCAGTGTGTCTCTCTGCTGTCAAGCCATAATCAATATCATCAGTGAAAAGAGCAGCACAGTCCCATTACGTGTTGCTGGTACCTCTGAATAGAGCCTGAGGTGAAAGAAATTAATTTAGGTTCTCACCTTTGATTAAAAAAGAGGATCTAAAAATGGCTTAAACTTAGGTAGGGCAATGTCTATAGTACCATATTAAACTGTAAAATTACTGTAAAAAGCATAATTTACAGTTCAGATACAAGTTTTCACAAAAACAAAATGTTTTATAAAATGATAAACTTTACATTTCAGCCTTTAAACCATTTTTAAGAAAATTGATGAGTCAAAAGTATTAATTATTATATTAATTTAAACAATTATTATAAATAAATTATTATATCAATTAAATAAATTAGGGGTGTGCGATATTGACAAAAAATTATATCTCGATAATTTTCTGGGATTTTATCGATAACGATAATTAGACAATATTTTGCTATAGAGTGTGTTAGTGTGCTGATATCTTTTCTCTAATTGTGCTGACAGCTGAATCCTGAATTTTTTGATATTCTTCATATTCTGTGTGGTCAGTTCACAGCAGTGATGTAAATTAATCCTTTCCAACAAGTTTTATGGGCATTTTTACCATTAAGCCATTTTTTCTAAAAGTGTGCATCATCTTTTGAGTCACATTCTTGCATTTGGGCTGTTACCAAGCTGACTTTTGGAGAAAAAACGGCACTCTTCGTGTGATATTAACTATATTAAATTATATAAATATATAGATTTTCTGCCCCATATCTTGAACTATGTGATAATTCTAAATGCATTTTAATAGACTGAGTAATGCAGTGAAAGAACGCACTATAAATTGGGCACACGCACTAGTCTAACCTGCTAGACTTCATCATGTAATGTATGCGCGCATTCTATAGGTGTTTTGTTTGCTTTTCGCGATATTCTCGATAATATCAAATCGCACATCCTTAAAACAACAATTACCTGCCAGCAGGTGGAGCGTTTGGTAGAAATATAACTGTTTCCCCAGTAACAGCAGAACACGGACTTTGAACGTGCAGCGCTCGTGTTTATTCAATGAAATCATAGCCTTTTGAAGTTTACATTCAGCTATATCGCAATTCTGGTCTTTCCGTCCCCAAATTTAAGACCTCTTGAAATCATAATTAAGACTTTCTTGTACAATTTAAGACTTTTTAAGGCCTTAAATTTGATACAACTAAATTTAAGACTTTTTAAAACTTTTTTAAGACCCGCGGAAACCCTGTTTAATATAGTGATGTAACTACTGTCTACTACTATAAATAATTGCAAAGTGCAGACCAATTATCCACTGAACAGAGCGGTGTAAATGTAGAAGTGGGCATGAACCACTGCAATGCACAGAACAGATCCTGAAGAGTACTGGGCAAGTCAAAAAACCTTTGCAACAGTGTGAAAGGAGTGTTGCAATGCATTTCAGTTAAAGCTAATCTAATCTGAAATAATAATGTACTTCTGAAGATATATAAATTAAGCAATACATGTGTTTGAGATACAGTTAAGTATGCCATTTTATTTGTATTATTTTCCTAACCATTATATTCTGACAGCTATGACTGATTGGATCAGCCATTAATCTGGGTGGATCAGTCTCATCCTGGCCCTAATTTCAACCAAAATACCATAATTACAACTGTAATACCGCAATAAACGAATCTGGCACCTTCTTCAAACAGTGTAAAAAGAAAGTAACCAGTCTGCTTTGATGGTTGTACCTAAAACACATCTGGAAAAAAGTGAATATGTGTTTTGTCACTGTGATCCCAAGATGTGGAAGTGATAACCTGACAATTTACAAGCAGATTATTCAATTAGCACTTTTAAACAGTATCTCAAGGACTCAGCATTAGGCAATTTAATTATCTCCTGTAATATAGGCTTTGCATTTGATGTATTTTTTATTTATATTACCTTATTATTATTATTATTATTAATATCTTGCATTTTACTTTTTACATCTCATACTTGTTATTTCTATGTACTCTCGTTTTTCTTAAACAGACAGTTTTTATTATCTTTTATCTCCTTCATATTATCCTTCAATAGTTTGGGGTAGGTACGATTTTTGAAAGAAGTCCTATATGCTCACCAAGGCTTCATTTACAGTAAAAACAATAATAATGTGAAATACTATTACAATTTAAAATAACCATTTATAATTATATTTTAAAATGTAATTTATTCCTGTGATGGCAAAGTCTTCAGTGTCACATGATCCTTTACCATGGTCAATTTTCGCAAGGGCAGTTTAACCCCTAACTACAACCAACATAGAGACAGTAACTTTGGAGGACAACCTCAATTTGTACACAAATTCATGCACGACTAACTAGAGACCTCAGTGACAGCTCAGGGTCACCAGGGCAGGTGTGAATCCTCGTTTTGTATGAATCTGAGATTCCAGAAATCCAGTTCGCTGACAGGCTGCCAGACAGCCCTGGATCATGGGAGAGGGAAAAGAGAGTGATTTGGTGGGAGCAAGCGATTGGCTCACGCTGAATGTTTTCCAGGCAGGTGGCAGCATGCAGTGGCAGCAGAGCAGGTGCTGTCGCTAACAGCAGGGCTCCAGAGAGACGGCAGCCAGTCTGCTGGCACAGAGATGGGCAGACTGAGAAATGGGGTCAGGCTTCACTGGGAGGAAAACGACACTGGTAACTGAAGTGAGCCCATTTCTTTGGCTCTTTTTTAATGCTCCAAATCTAGGCAGTAAGAGGATTTACTAGCGCAACGCAAGCCAGGGCCCGGACTGTAGTGGGCTGTCACGCAACTATAAGAATCTGTTGAGGAAACTCTGGAATAACAAGACACACACACATACACACACACACACACACACAAAGGCATGCTCACAGACAACACACACCTACACACACAAAGAGCTGTAGTGTTGAAAGCCGACTGTTTTCTGCAGCTTTCTCTTTCCAGCCAAGCTTCACTGGTTTTCAACACTCACAGCACATATAACCCTGAACCCATCCCGCAGGTAACATCATTCAGCGGTTTTCTTCCCCAACCCCTTCAGTCATCACCCAGGGGCCAAGCAGACTGTAACTTCTCCATTAATATCCCCTTCCATGCTTCCATGTGCTAAAAAAAAAAAAAGTATAAATAAATAAATAAAAAAAATAAAAAAAGAAGAAAATTAAGAGAAAAAACTTAAATGTATTTAATTCTAATTGAATAATAAAAAAAATCTGACCAGTTTGTGGTGACTACTTAAACGCAGTGAATATTATTTTTGTGTACATAATGTGGTTTATTAATGAGCTAATGTGGTTTATGGCATGATTTCTGGAATACTTACATCCGATTGGTCAGACATTTCGCGGTAAAATATTATAGTATAATGACTGATAAACTGTATAATTGACCATTGTTTCTGACAAAAGATTTGTTCTCACATAACTCAAATGTTTTATATGTTTTTTTTTTTTTTTGGTAAGGAGTAGTGTAATAAATGGAATAATGTAGTTAACTGAATAAAATAATACATTTGAAAAATGGGTGTATTTTCCAATAATGACCAGCTAAATGTAAGTCCTTACATAGTGTATAATGTAACATAGAAATAATGTAATTGCTAAAACAGTCGTAAAATTCAATGAGACATGGTTATCAAAATACTTCACAATGGCAACACTGGGATTTTTTTATTATTATTTTTTTTTAAATAAATGAATACTATTATTCTACAAGGATGAATCAAGTTGATCAAGAGTGACAGTAGACATTAATATTCTTATTTTAAAAAAATTGTATTTCACATAAAGGTTGTCCTTTTAAATGCTCTATTGATCAAAGAATCCACAAAATGTTTGTGTGATTATAATAACCTCAAATCAAATGAGTGAGGTTTTATCATTCAGATAATGTTAAACTTGCTGGTTTTTCATGAAATTTTCAACAGTAGTGCTCTAGTAGTGATGGTCTGTTCCATATTTTTTTGTAAGTGCGCATGTGATTGTGTGTGTGTGTGTGTGTGTGAGTGAATAACGGGTACTTGCTATGCCAGAAGTCATTAGTGCAGTCATTACACTGTCAGTGAAATGTGCTTTCAGGGGCCAGACCTTTAGAGCATGCGGCATCATTACCATTAGTAAATACAGTGCATTAGTGGGTGACCTTCAGTATAATGCTGAAAATGCTGCAATTTATTCTGGTCTTTTGTGTGTGTGTGTGTGTGTGTGTGTGTGTGTGTGTGAGAGAAAAAGTTTGTTTTTCAAAACAAAAAAACAAAACAAAATTTGTTTGCCACAATGCTCAAAGATGCTAAAAAAAATCAGCTTTCATGCTGAATGTGTATTTTTTACCCCATTTCCCCCTTTTCAACAAGCAGCTTGGTCCAAATTCATATTAAGCACACAGTAGGGGTTCAATCAAACTGTTAATCCCTCCTTATAGGAAGAAACAAAGGAGAACTGTTAGTTTCAAACGAAGAAAAGCCAAGCGAGAGGAGAAAAAGCGACAGATGAACACACAAACACAGAGCATCCCGCAGGCCCAAAGCCGCAAACCACCCGCTCACACTTGAGTTACTCACATATTCCGTGGACTCTTCAATTTTCCACTGATGGAAAACATGACAGAAGAGAGGTAGAAAATGAATCAGAGATGGCACTACTGGGGAGAAAAAAAAGCATCGCTACCTTTTTTTTCTCTCATCTACAGATGAACACCTAGCGTTAACAGTGACATGCTATAGAGACAGAGGAGAAGGGTGGAGGAGGAGAGATGACAATATTTCACATTCAACACAGTGCTGAATAATGTCAGGTAAAAGGAGCAGCGGTATACTGCTAACAAATGCAAGGTGCTTCATTCCATCACTCTGTGGGAGAAAGAAATGACAACTATTGCACCACTTACACCTGGTGCAAGAACGTTTTAGTCTCAGCATGGTTGTAAACATTGCAATGCACAAATACTTACCTGGGCTGCATTCATAATAAACCTGACAAGTGAACTCCAAAAGACATACATAAATATTGTACAATGCAAAACATTTATCACAAATGCACTGCCTGGTTACGTGTATATAATTTAAGAAAATTTGTAACAGTTTTATGAAAGGTACCATATCAGTTATTGGCTGGTACTATTTCTCAGTATGGACTGATATTGTATATTCAATTATGCAGCTCATTGAATCTATTCTTCATCTATTTTCACATTATAATTATTATATTACATTATATATTGCATTATAATGTTGTGATGCCTAAATTCACATTTAAAATGAGTTTTAATTTGTAATTGTTTTTCATTTATTTAGACAAATTAGGATTGAGATTTGATATTTGCAAGTTCTTGGCCATAACACAAAAATTATCTTATCAATATTGACCAGATTTTTAATATTGTGCATGGCTAATTTTACCACATTGACACATTTGCACAAAAACAAACAATTACATTTACAGATTTTTTTTTTTTTTGCCCCTGCTGGTGGACACTGGTATAACTGGCATTGTGCTGTCGGTGTATTCTGACAGGACAACCAACATTTCTAAAACATTTTTAATTTAAATACAACATTTATATATAAAAACCATTTTTTGTAACTGTAAGTGAAACTCATCGGGATTGAAAGCCTATCTCTTGGTGCGAATCTCCTGGTGGTGTAGAGCATGAAATCCCATTACCCCCATCGCATTGCCAGCTTGGTGACATCAAACTTTACTGACACTGAGCACCCAGAACCACTGCTTTTTCTTACCCACCCTCAACAAAAGGCGCTCACATATGCATCAAATCTTCCCTGGACCGAGAATCCAGCATGGAGCCAACTCAACCGGAGTTGATACAGTATTCCTTTTCGGGAAGAAAGAGGAAATTGCTCTTTTCTAACCGAGAATCTGCAAAGTGCAGTGAAGCACGTCACAATGTCAGTCCGTGGACCCCCACACTGTAATTTTCTATATTAGATCATTCTGCAAACATTCATCCATATCCTATAATTGCTTCTCATGATGGAGTTGATGTAGATCTGTGTGTATATTGCATAACAGTACCATTAGCAGACTAGATGGATGCCAATATTTCAGTCTGTTTCCCTAACACACTGCTTCCCACACACAGACCTCATGCGGCCAATCCTATAGGATAATGCCTGGCATGTGTGGTGCTTTGTTAGCCTGTCGGCTGCTCAGAGGTGGGAGCCTCATGGACGGTTTTAAAAGCCCCTGACAGCACAAGAGAAACCAGCAGCTTTGCCCAGAGCATGCCCTCCTAAAAGTCCAGTAACAATGATTTTATCCAGGGCATGGCTGCCTGGAGGCCCAACCGCCCGTCATTACCTTTCACGGTGAGGAGCTGAAGACATGCTGATAAGTTGAGTGGAAAGCGTAGAGGCTGAAACATTGATCAGATATAATGGGCCGGAGAGCACTTCTAACCCTTCAGGCCTGCACTTAAGAGTTGTACTTCAATCATTTAGTCATCGCTGTTTCACTGCGTTCACTTCCTTCTCAAATGGACTACTCTTAAACCGCTGCTTTTAACTGTCCTATTAATTGTGCACATTACTGCAGTGTGGACACGAACATGGACTTAGCACATACACAACCGGCATCCAAAGCCAGCACCGTTCTTTTAGGCCGATCTACACTCAATCTTCAACAAAACCCACAGCAGCACCGACACAAGAATCATGCAGTTAAATAAACACAAACAATCTCTTGAAACTCAAGTTAATGAGACAGTTTTTCTGCTTATCTGCTTTCTTAATGGGTTGTTGTTTTCCACATGGCACTTTAGTCCCGGTTAAACATACCGGCATTTGCTTTCACAAAATTATCTCCTCAGAATCATTCTCTTTGAATGCAAGATGAATGAATCAGCCTAGTTTATTAAAAGGCTTCAGAGAGCAGAAAAAAAGGTCAGAACTGATAGGAATCTTCAGCTGGAGCCAAATGCTGCAATTTTCGGAGAGGATATTAAAATAGTAATGGAAGTCTGTGTTTGTCAGATAGAGGCTGATGGAGAACAAGAGATGAAAGGGAAATATGGTGCTGATATTAATCAGGGGAAATAAAGGGTTCTCCTCTCTCTCCTTCATCTGGCACTGGGGCCACCGAGGCCATTGTGATTCCTTCAGAGTTGGTGCTGTTTCACAACCCCAATTAAAAACACCTGAACCAACTAATCAAGGTCTTTAGGCATACTAGAATCTTCCAGGCAAGTTGGAGCTGAACTAGGACACTGGCCCTCAAAAAGCAGCTTTAGATACCCCTGATCTACTGGCAGGATGGTCGTAGTTTATGTATTCAATGTAATTGGGTTCGAACCTTCTATGTTTTTGGTACCAGCTCTTGTCCTTGACTACTAAAAGCCGCACCACCCACAGCTTGATCTCTCACTACGTCTGTCATTTGCTCGTTCCCTCTTCCATCCTACACCCACAACTAATGCAACAAGATCCTAACCAAACAGCACAGAAGAGTGACAGCTGTAATTGAAGGGGACTCTCATGCAGATTTATTGGAGATTCTTCATGGAAAGGTTGACAGGCTTCTCCAACGGCCACTTGCTCGGCTCTCGTGGCACACTGGAATGGATCAATTAACTCAATCTCTCAGTTAAATTTAGACTCAGAATGAAAGTGGTGTGTGGGTTCCCAGTCTGGCCTTTTTTGAAAAGAAAATGTGTTTATCCCACCCACGGACAAACAAGTACTCGCTGGTTTCCTGGCTTTTCAGCTGAGGCCAGGGAGCCAGATGTAAGAGAGACTTCTCATGTTGCTCTGAGTGAGACAAATGGTGGGTTCAAATTGTGACACCGTCTCATTACACACTTAAATTTAAAGTGAAATCAATCTTATAAGTATTTACTGTTTTTAATACATGTTCTAATTGTGTATGGTATATCAGTGCACACTACCTTTAATGAAAATGTTGGCTATTATTAAATGCTAATCAACAGCCAAACATTTTAGGGTTCTTTTGTAGGTAATGCAGCCTTAATAAAAACTTGCCTTTATAAAACCATGTAGACTGAATTTATCCATTACATTTTTTTTTCTTTTTTCTTTTTTTGACCTTGTAGTTTTTAATCAAAATATCATAACTCGATCTTCCGTTGAAACAACTTCTCTCTGGTGACGTTTGCCGGACTTCGCCAATCATTTAGTCCACTTATACCCCTCTTAACAATCGACTGCAAGCTCGCATTTAGATTGCATTGCCTCCATCCATTCAACAACCAATGGGTATACCAAGTCCCCGCCCCAGATCTAATTCTTTTCAATCATTTTTTCACTTGGTTGTACGTCACAATATGGGAGAACCTCCATTTTTTTGTGAGTTTAAGAGTTATAGTTAACAGCAATAGTTCATGTAATAAAAATAAATGGCAACAACAAAAAATAGGATAATTAAAAAAACTTACTGTTGGGATACTTGAGGGAGACGCATGAGTATCCTCAAAAATAAAATGAAAACAAGTGAAATGGATGAAGGAAAACAAATTAAACAATGAAACAAGACAAATGAACGTTGTCGTTGTGTAGGTAGCTAGTCAGTTTGTAACTCATGTGTTAATGTTTGTAGCTTAGCAATTAGGATTTGGATCGGTTCAGTAATGCATACTAAGAGCAAATAAAAAACATTACAGATGCTTCTGCTCTCCTCAGAGATGTTTTAGGAGCCCATCCATGCAGAAGCTCTTGCTCTTAGAGCCAGAGTGTCTCTGAAGGTGGTAGAGAAACATCACATATTAAAAATGAACAACTGGCAACCCCCAGAAGAACAGAAATGGATGTCTTGAGAAATCTGGATCTTTTTGTCAAGACAAAAAGCACTACAAGCCATTTATCAAAGTAACTCTGCAACCACCCTGCCAAACCATTAGTGTTACACAATACACAATGGATTTTCATCACTTCTCCGACATGTTTTCTACCTTCTTCACTAGCTCTCCCTGGCCAATTACATCCCAGAGAGCAAAGCAACAACACATTCTATTTCTTTTCTGAGTAAGGGCGAAAGAATTAAGAAAGATGTAGACATAAACGTAACCAGAGTCTTATGATACATCTTCAATGTCTCAGAGAAAATTGAGACAAAAGGTGAAAATAAACAGGCCTGTATGGATCATTGTGTCTCAGCAAGTCTTTTCATGTTTTTTTTTTTCTATGACAATGACAGTGAATGAGTCACGTCCTGGGACAAACCATCGCAGTTCGTGGTAATTGACTCAACAATGCTTCAGATGTCATGGCGTATGAAGGGAATGTTGTTTGCCAAAAAGCGAGAGGCAAGTGCAGGTGCCCTTGGGTTGTGAGAGCAAAGAGGTCAACAGCAGTTCACCTGACAGATACTGTAAACAAAACCTGTCTATTGTTTTTTTTTATTTGTTACCGATGGAAAAGTAGATGAAAAAAACTACAACAAATGTGTCTCGTATGCTGTCAAAAACATTTAGAACCGCTGACCTTGTGACATTAAACAAAGTTTACAAGTTATGACTTGTGGAGGTGTTATGGACTAGAGGCACTGAACAGACAAAACATCAACTGCACCAAAAATCCAGAGTGGCGAAGGTCACAAAGACCACTTTAAGCTCTGAGCAAGGGATTTTATAGAATATATCATTTAGAGATGCACTGATATACGCCCCTGAACACGCCCCTTACCATGCATCATCATCGGAACAACTCATGTCTGTCCATCAATCAAAAGAGTGATAGCAATAACCAATATAGTACCAATATATGCATCCCTAATAAAATTAGCTGGAATCAATTAATGGCAGAAAATAAAACTTGCCAGTTCTAGGAGGTGGATTGAGCGCTTACGCGTAAGGTAGTACATTTGTATTTTACATGCACTCCTTCACTTGGGTATGTACTTATGCAAATGAGAAATAATCTTCTCGATACACGAGAAAACCCCCATTACCTGCTCATTTACTAAAAACCATTAAAGCCCACAGTGGTCCATAAACGTCTCTTGTTACAGTCTTTTTTATTTTTCTAGCTCAGTGAGAGGAAATGCTTACACATGTAAATGAGAAACTCTTGTTTGGGGCAGGGAAAGTGCAGCAAAACACATGTCTACACAAGTTAATTCTCAGCTAACAATTCAAGAGCAGAAGCATTTAAATGCCCCCAATCAAATTCTCTCTATTCCCGAAAAGTGTCTACTTTAAGAAATTAATGGATATCTAAATCCCTCCTAAGGATTACTATCTTTATTCCATCTCAGTGCACCCATGTTTCTTCAGGCAGTTTTAAATCTCCTTATATCAATGCATCATGAGCGAAATGGGGGAAAAAAAAAAAAAACAGTAACAAGGCAGTGCATATGTATTAATGTTAGGATTTACAAAGAGCTGAATTCTTGAAAGGCCACCAACATTGTGTGCCTATGAAATATTTAACAATTCAGATAACATTGAAGACTCAGAAAAAGTGTTTATGTAGACATGTAGACATGTATCCTGCAAATTCATAAGACAGACAAAGATTTAGTTCCAAACCCTGATTTGCCTACCAAGACAGCATTTTTAGGCTTTATAGACATGCTAAACAACTCAAAAGCTGTTTAAAATAGACAGTCAATTATGCTGCCAAAAACAAAGCAGTGTATAAAAAAAGTATTTAAAAAATTGTTTTTAGTAATTTAAAAAAATAAAATATAATATTATAGAATATTATTTTGCCTTGGCAGCTAACTGAAATAAAATAAAATAAATTTAATTTGAAGAACTAAATTTACAACTAAAACTGAAATAAAAATTAA